AATATCCAGACTCTCCATAGATTCATATTCTATGTAGGTCTCAGTCTCACGATTCAAATATGGAATTGATACTTATATAGTTTTAGATCCTGAGCAGCACGCATTGTTTGGCCTTCAAGATCCTCAATATAACCCACGTTATTGAACATGTGGAAGATGCCTACTGGAAAGACCACTAAACGGAAAGAAAGCGGATATGTAGCAATCTAGTTACGAACGTTGGAAATATCATTCAGGTATGTCTCAGATTCAACATCTCTATGTATTTCTTCTAATGATATTTTCTGATTCAAAATGTACTTCGATTCAAATGTGATGTTTAGTTGCAGATCCAAGAAGCAGTGTTTGATACTTGCCACTCAATCGGAGAAAACCATCCAGTAAATACGGACCGAACAGAAGATCCGCAAAGAGAACTGACCAGAGTATACTTTACAGAATTTAAATCATTATATTCGTACGGAAGGCGATATATTGATTACCTTTCCATATTCTCAAGCAGACAGATAGACAGATATTCAGCTTTATGTCTCTATGGAAACACGACAGGTACCCTTACGAGGGGAGAGTATCAACTTAGCGTTTATAAACCCTCTCTGCAAAGGAGGTAGACGCATGGTGGGTTAGGTATATACAGTGTTCTTCATTGCAGAGAAAATTGTTGTTTATCTGCCTGTCTCGTCCTCATTGAGATAGTTGATGAATTGATGAATTACAAAAATATATCGCGTTCCAGTTATGAATGTTGAAAACAATATCCAGACTCTCCATAGATTCATATTCTATGTAGGTCTCACGATTCAAATTTGAAATTTATACTTAGTTTTAGATATCTGAGCAGCACATTTTCTGGCATTCAAGGTCCTTATATAGTATAACCCATGTTATTGAACATGTGGAAGATGCCTACTTGAAAGACCACTATACGGAAAGAAAGCGGATATGTAGCAGTCTAGTTACGGACGTTGAAAATATCATTCAGGTATGTCTCAGATTCAACATCTATGTATTTCCTCTAATGATAATTTCTGATTCAAATGTACTTCGATTTAAATGTAATGTTTAGTTGCAGATCCAAGAAGCAGTGTTTGATACTTGCCACTCAATCGGAGAAAACCATCCAGTAAATACGGACCGATCAGAAGATCCGCAAAGAGAACTGACCAGAGTATACTTTACAGAATTCAAATCATTATATTCGTACGGAAGGCGATAGGCATATTGATTACCTTTCCAGATTCTCAAGCAGACAGATAGTCATCAGCTTTATGTCTCTATGGAAACACGATAGGTACCCTTACGAGGGGAGAGTATCAACTCGGTTTTTATAAACCCTCTCTGCAAAGGAGGTAGGCGCATGGTGGGTTAGGTATATACAGTGTTGAACACCTGCTGAAAATGAAGTTTCCTCTTTCGTCTATTAGGACCCCATCTAGGAAAATTGAGCATATAACTTCCAACCCTGGAGTTTTGATGAAAACTTCCAAATATTTGAAAATTAAAGTAGAAAACTTCACGGAAGTGGAACGAGATTGTTGTATCTGCTTAGATGAAATGGCTATAAATCCTGAGCAAGCATATTTTGTATGTCTACTTCTCAAACATTTGGGCTCGAAACTATTCAAAATTCTGGTGAAAATGTTACTCATGTCCTAGTTGTTATATGAGGGGGATCACATCAAGATGGAAATAAATCATTGGATATCATTTCACCGGGAATAATGTGTCTGTATTTCAACACCCTGTATCTTCGAAATCAAGCATTTTTGGACACAAATAAGCTTATATAGACTTTATTTCTAAAAATTGTCTCAGGAATACCTCACTTGAACATACTTATGGAAGTAGTATATTGAGAATACCTACCTTCAATTTAATATTAATATCTTCATGTTTTATACTCATCACTGGAGTACAGTTTCACATACAATAAGGAATTATAGCTATAAGTATATCCATATGTGTATATTTTCTAATATTAAAATAATATTACATGCATTCTTTTCATTTATATAACTGTTGTTCTGCTAGAAGTGTATCACTATAAACTGAAGTGGGTGTTCATACCCTTTTTCTACTGTCCATCTACGGCTATGATTGATTTGACAGAAAATCTAACCTCTAAAATCGTATCTGACAATCAGGCGCTACTAGGGAAATTGAAAAGACAAATAGCAGAATATATTATGTCTTATTCTTTTATTCACTTAAACCATTGTATTATAGAAAATAGAAAAGGACAAAAGTTCAGCTGTGTCCGAAATCGATTCCATCCCTCACGACAAAAAAGCGCATCTATCAGTGCGGATTGCGGGATTGTTCAAGTTCGATAAGCTTGGCAACATTGCAGAAATATTTAGGGATTTTTAAAATCGTGATTACTCCACGATCACCCTGACAAAGATGCCTACCCTGACAGCCGAAGTGACAGTAACTGTCAGATTATTTGACGCAGCCATTTGTGGATGACTTCTCTCGAGTGCTTTCCGGATAGCCGTATCGGGTCTCGATCTCGATCGTAGTGTTTTCTTTCCATTGCCAGCCATGTTGACCTGTACAAGACTGAATCTTCAGCTATCCACCAGAACCTAAGGCCGCAGCCAGTCCGAAAAAAGGACACAGAACACTATGCCCAAGTGTGACCTCAAAACCAGATACATACCAGCTACATTCGCCTGGACCCTGCTGATCGTAGCTACAACATTGTTTTTTTATTATCCGTGAGTTATTTGTGTGTTTATGTTTCCAAATTTAGACAGCGCTTTTGCAGGGCCCAGTATTACATATCCGACCACCCATGGGTGCCAGCCTACCAAGGTGTCATCACGTTTTTTGTGTTGGCCAATTTTACCCTAGCCACTTTCATGGACCCGGGAGTGATACCTAAAGGTGAGTACACAGACTAAACTGTCTCAGTGTTCAAAACTGCTAAGTGTTGTTGTCTTTCAGCCCCTCCTGATGAAGATAGGGAAGATGACTTTAGAGCTCCACTCTACAAGAATGTTGATATAAATGGTATTACAGTTCGCATGAAATGGTGTGTTACTTGTAAGTTCTACAGACCACCTAGGTGTTCCCACTGCAGTGTTTGTAACCATTGTATAGAGGTGAGTGGTTCTACTTTTCTGAAACTGTTGTTCTTGCCTAGGTTCTTGACAATTATAATAAATGTGAATCAGCAGGTCCTCTTTACAGTTTAACTCCAGAAGATTTCTAATTTATGTATAGGGTGGCATTGAAATAAGTGCAGATATTTCAAACACTGAGAGAGTTCTACATGTTCTATTGAATGGCACTAATAAGAAAAATGTAGGGATCAAAATAAAATTTGAGGTTAGACCCCTTTTTCCACTCAAATTTCTACACTGTTCAAATTTCCATGTGGTAAACACAATCATGCAGAGTTCAATCATTTGAATTGTTTTTAAGTGGTGTACTTGTTTTTTTTTTCTCCTATTTTGTTCAATTTTTGGGATGAAATTTCTGTTAATCAGAAGAATTTTTTTTTTAGTGTTTATTTCATCCCAAAATACATAGAGTGTTACATAGGGACACCTCTAATAATAGTTAGGAAAATAATTTGATATCAATTAGAAAACATCTGATATAGGAATATTCCTTAGACTGAATCATATTAATGTTCTGAATATGTGCACTTATTTCAAAAACACCTTGTATATATGTATTATTATGGTTAGTTTTCAGTTTATTTTTCCATAATTTTAATATTGAATTCAAATTAGGCACTTCATGCTTATTCAATGACTTCTGATATTGGTATCATATGTTGGAATTATAATAATTTCATTCATTTTATGCTCATAGTAAGAAATATCAAATTGATGACTCATAAATGTTATAATGCAATTGTTGCTGTTCAAATCTGCTAATTTGTATACAGGGTAACAGCTTTAACAAAACCACCATATTATAGACAAAACAAGAAAACAGAAAACACACATTTTCAAAAGTTTCTTACAATAAAATGTGTGCAATATAATAAAAATACCAATTCAAAATTTGTCTCAAATCATCCTCATTTTGGGCTTGATTTTAGGAGAGTATGTTATTCCAATAATGCATGTACAGGGTGATTGACTATGGATTTCACAATTTATATAGCTGATATCTCTTAAAAGAAAAAAGATATTTGAAAATTGGACTATGTTTTGTAGCTTGATTTGATCATTTCCGATCATTTCATATAGTATGTGAAAAAAAGTTATTTTTATCAAATATCTCAAAAGAGCACTTTCCTCATTCTGTAAATGAGCATATAGCTACTTGCCATTATATTCTATCTGAAATATGAAGAAATATCAGCAACATAACATTCCCTGTATATGACATGATAAAATGGGAAAAAAACATTTTCTGTATGTTTCTCAAAAACTGTATGGATTGATGGATAGATAGATACTTTTATTAATCTCTTTTGATTATTAACATAACATGAATTAGGTCCTTATAGTTGTAAGTAATATAGGTAATAAAAATGGTAATATGATGTTAAAAAAAGTAAAAACATCCTGTATACATTCCTCTATTACCTATTTAATTTTGTTGGTATTATTTATTGACAAAAAACAGATGGAACATGACAATTTTAGTATTTTACCTTTTTGATAGATTTTTCCACATAGAGAAGAGGGTCAAAACATAGTATTTCACCCTGTACATTGTGGAAGTGACTACACTCTAGGACTAGAACATAAGTTGAACTTTAATCTATAATTTGTTTATTTTATCAGTAGTTCATGTAGACATTGACTAATGTACCACCTGATAATGATAAATGTAGGTAATGATAATTTTTTGCCAGAAATTTCCAAGCTTTTCTAGTGCCATATATTGACTGTTTTGATAAATTTCAATCCATTTCATTAACAATTTTTATATCATTTGTGATGCAAGCAAGCATAACATGGCAATTATCAGGAAATAATGATGTTATGGTTCTGCATTCATTATTTTTTTCAACCTAGTTGCCGAGTGAAATGAAATAATTGTTGTTTTGTTAATTGCTTTATTATCGGTATTAGCTATGGTATTAGCATTATCAATATTTTCCGGTTTTGATTTTTCCCCAAATGATTCAACTTATGTGAAGTTGGCACCGACTTTTTTGAAAAACTGAATTTTTATCGGAGTTCTGGGTAGATACGATAGAGTTCTGGAGTTCCTGACAAAAAATTTCAATAGTTCTGGTTAATTGTAGAAAATAACCGAAAAACAAAATTGTGGGTGCTAAATTCACGCGGCGCTGGTTATTTCACAGAAAAAAGTTCTGATGAGAAATTTCCACGTATTTGAAAGAGTTCTGGAGTTCCTGATATATTTCAACGATAGTTCCGGCGTAATAACAAAGTTATTCCTATTTTTAATAGGGACATTCATACGCTCATGTAGCATCCACCACTTTCTAAAGTTCGGATCGGAGTTCTGGGTAGCACTAGAGCGAGCACTAGAGTCCCTGTATATACCTTAGAGAGTCCGGACACAGCTATACTTCTGTCCTTTTCTGTTTTAAAAAAATGCATTGATGATTGAATAAAGGAATAAGACATACATATCAAGCTCTGTCTTTTCAATTCCCCTAGTATCAATGATTGTCAGAAACAATTTTGAGGGTTAGATTATTTGTCAAACCGTTCATAGCCGTAGGTAGAAGTGAGAGGGCTATTTCAACTACAATAACTATTAAATAATAATAATAACTTGAATCCCTTTTCTAATGAATTATCGCAATAATGTACGCAGCAGGACATTGAAATAATTTAAAATGCTAAATTTTGGCGGTCATAAAATTTCAAAGTGACAGTGACAGAAATTCGAAATAATTTAAAAAAACGGGCGGGACGACTATGGTGCTTCGACACATTGTCAGGTGGGCAAACCAAATGAAACAAAATATTGAAAACCCCAACAGCTGTCAGTTTTGTGTCCGGACTCTTGTCTAAGGTATATACAGGGACTCTAGGTAGCACCAGTCGAGTTCCACATACTATCTAGGTAACTTTTTTCTCTTAAATCGAAACTTTAGTTTTCATAAGCGAAAACAAAAAAGTTTCGTGAAAAATTTGGAAAGGAGAGACAATAGAGGAGTTCTGATCGGAGTTCTGGGTAGCACCAGTCGAGTTCTACGTACTATCTTGATAAATATTTTCTCTAAAATCAAAACTTTAGTTTTTATAAGCGGAAAAGAGGGACCAATTGAAAAAAAAAATGTTTTGTGAACGATTTGGAAAGGAGAGACAATAGAGGAGTTCTGATCGGAGTTCTGGGTAGCACCAGTCGAGTTCTACATACTATCTTGATACATTTTTTCTCTAAAATCGAAACTCTAGTTTTTATAAGCGGAAAGTTTTGATTTTAGAGAAAAAATTTATCAAGATAGTCTGTAGAACTCGACTGGTGCTACCCAGAACTCCGATCAGAACTCCTCTATTGTCTCTCCTCTCCAAATTTTTCACGAAACTTTTTTTTTTCAGTCGGTCCCTTGTTTTCGCTCATGAAAACTAAAGTTTCGATTTAAGAGAAAAAAGTTACCTAGATAGTATGTGGAACTTTACTGGTGCTACCCAGAACTCCGATCCGAACTTTAGAAAGTGGTGGATGCTACATGAGCGTATGAATGTCCCTATTAAAAATAGGAATAACTTTGTAATTTCGCCGGAAGTATCGTTGAAATATATCAGGAACTCCAGAACTCTTTCAAATACGTCGAAATTTCTCATCTTTTCTTTTCTGTGAAAAACCGGCGCCACGTGAAGTTAGCACCCACAATTTTGTTTTTTGGTTATTTTCTACAATAATTAACCAGAGCTTTTGAATTTTTTTGTCAGGAACTCCAGAACTCTATCGTATCTACCCAGAACTCCGATAAAAATTCAGTTTTTCAAAAAAGTTGGTGCCAACTTCACATAAGTAATGATTCATATTTAGTTTGAAGATAACTTGGAATGATTTTATTCGCCGTTTTCAAGGTCATTCTCTGACGTGGCGATGACCTACTGGGAGAAAACATTCCTTACTCCTGGCATAGATTGAAAGTTAGACATGCTTTTGTAATTCCCTAGATTTACTTTGATTGACCGGTATCCAGATGACAATTGGAAAGTTAATGTTAACAACCTCATTTGTTAATTACAACATATCTGCCTTTCAATGTTAATAACTATTTCCCCCAGTTTCAACGTCATGGCAACGTCAGATGATGACCTTGAAAACCACGAATATGCAATCACCTTTTTGACTTTGATTTTTTCAATAGGGTCTCCATTTGCTCCCCATACAGTTTTAGCTCAGTAAAACGGTAACGATTAGGACCCAATCAGGAAAAAAATTCAAGTAGTCGGTTTCTCTTTGGTTCTACAGGGTGTCTGTAAAAGGTCTTTACAAAAACATACCACATATTTCCTAGACCAAAATAAGTCGATTTAAGTAAAATTACCTGTGTACAAAGTTGCATCGTTTGGGCTCCAGAGGGCCTTGAAGTTACAATTTTTAAATCGTTTTTCCCATATAAATTCAAAACGGCATATGCGATTTTGCTGAAATTTGGTATTTTGATAGTTTTATGTGGCAAAAAAAATTTGTCCGATAATAATACATAGGCGTAGAACTTGATTTTTTAAATAATTGCACCTTTAAAAATTCTACGCCAATGGAAGAAAAGGAGTTTGAGTATGAAATTTAGATCGCGCAACTCATTTACTTTAAAAAAAGTACTCTTGATAAGACTCGATTGCTCTCATGGTTTTGACGAAATTTGCATTTTAGTAATTTTAGAACATAAACAATAATTATTAAAATACAAACTTTGTCAAAACCATGAGAGTAAATCGAGTGTTATCAAGGGTACTTTTTTGTAGTAAATGAGTACCCAATCCAAATTTCATACTCAAACCCCTTTTCTGCCATTGGCGTAGAATTTCTAAAGGTGCAATTATTTAAGTTCTATGCCTATGGCAGAAAAGGGGTCTGAGTATGAAATTTGGATTGGGTACTCATTTACTACAAAAAAGTACCCTTGATAACACTCGATTTACTCTCATATGTGGTATGTTTTTGTAAAGACTTTCTACAGACACCCTGTATATGTTAT